GGTTAGTCGCAGTTCGTGGCGTTCGTAGGTCGATGCGAGTTTATTGACACTGTTGGTTAGGCGGTCTAGCTTCTGTTCCAGTTTGTCAAAACATGCTACGATAGCATCTGGTTTGTCCAGACGGAATACTATCGTGTGTGTTGACCAGGGGGGATTGGCTTGTTTTTGTATGCTGTTGGTATGGAAGTGCTGCGTAAATGGGAGGAGGATGTGCGGGTGAGGTGTTGAAGTTGGGGGTTTCGGGTTGTTGGGGTGGAGCTGGAGTGCTTGGCTCACCTGTCTTTCCGGGTGGAGCGGTTTTCCCAGCGCCCAGGCAGGATAATTGTTTCTTGCTGGGGGTCGTGCATTGGTTTCGGTTTGTCGCATCTGCCGGTGCGGGCGGTGATGGCGGAGGTGCGTTGTTCATGGTGGCGGAAGTGATGTGCTTGTCCTGCCGTGGTAGCTGCCCTTGCCACGGCTGCGATGGCTGACCTAGTGGTGCCAGTGCGGGGAATGCGTGCTCATAATTGGGGCCCTGATGTGGCGGCGGTGCTTGGTTGTGTGCTCCCCATGCGACGTGCAGGCTGTTGATGTTGCGGGATCATGGTGTTGTTGCGCAGCCTGATACGTTGAAGATAGGATTCTTTGGTCCGTCTCTGATCCTTTTGCTTCTTGATTGGGCAATCAGGGTCGTTGGTCCTATGCTCCCCTCCGCAGTGGATGCAGAGAAGGAAGCATTGGTGTTCTTCTCCTTGTTGCTTAAGTTGTTTTGTGCAATGAGCACATCTGATTGTGGTTGATCTGGCTGGGCAGTTGTCTGCGCGATGATCATACATCAAGCATAGGGAGCAGAACTGTGCCTTCGGATGATGGGGCCAGCACCGGAATATAGCTCGGTGATAAAGAACTTTCCAGGGTACGGTGCTTCCTTCAAAGGTGATAATGGCTGTTTCCGTCTTGCCCATAATGCAAGCGGCAAGTATGGTGGGTCCGAAAGTGGCCAAGTGTTGCATGAGGTGTTCAGAGGTTGTACCGGGATCCACTTCGTGAATGACACCTTTGCAGGAGTTGGCCGGTGCGGTGATATACGCCTGGATGGTGTATACGGTTTGTCCAAGTGGGAGTTGAGACAGGGTCGCAATTTTCTCCACCGCCATCGGGCTTGGGGTCTTGATCATTATTATATTGTTTTGTTGCTTGATGTGCACCAAGAGATCCTGGGCTTCGTGTGGGGTGAGGAGGGCGTTTTACCTTATGGCGATTGCAATGTGATGTTGTTTGTATTGAAGAAGGTTCATGGGCACTTTGTGGTCGGATTATGACTGCTTTAAGCTCCGTTGAGCGTAGGGGGGTAGTACGGGCCTTCTTTTCGTATTGAACAAGTGTGTAGTTGTCTTCTCCGGTAGCTGTCTCGTAACGGTGGATGTCTGGCGCCATAATGGTTTGCGCAGGTGAGAAGAAGGTGGGTGTCTTGCCCGTTATTAGTGAGGGATGCGTTTCCGACAGTGTGTGGCCGCCGTCGACAGGAGCGGTGAGATAGGAGCGGGATATTCGGGTCTAAGTTTTCTCGCGAGGCTTAGCTACCGCCATGGCGTAATCATTCGAAAGGTGGGAGTAAAATACAGATAATGAACTCACGAAAAATCAGGCATCTATTGATGCCGTGAGTGAACCTCTCTCCGATTATGAAGTCGTTATTCCTCTGTTGGATGGAAAAACTGTGCAAATCGGGTGATTTGTCGGAGCTCACTGTGGAAAGATTTGGATAGGTCGACTTCGTCTTCCTCTTCTCTCGTGGGATCTGAAGCTCCTCCCTATACCGTTCTCACCTCGTCACTGACTATTCGGAGCGCTAGTGCGTCTGCTTTTTGTGCAGGGGTTGCGATGATGTCAGAACGCCGGCCTCTTATTGGCTAAATAAATAGGATAGTGGGTAAACCTCAAGGCATCTAACGTTGAGGTCTACCCACTATCCTTTCAATCAAAGTCATTCAGAGCTCGGCGTCGTTCTTACGTCCCCGCAACTCCTCCGCAAGAAGCAGACGACTTTCTCTTCGCATAGATAGGTGACTCTTCAGTCTAGTGCTTTCAATATAATGTCAACTTCAAGTAAAACACTGAAGTGATGCAAAAACAAAAAAAGAAAAAGAAAGAAAACCGGAACGGTGAAACCTAACGCAATGCAAGGAGACAAATGAACTCACCGAGGACCAAATTAGATTGCCGTGGCACCGATTTTTTCGTGAAACTAGTTTCGGTGCGCGTTCTGAAGTCAAAGTTCAGGCGTCTAGACAAGCTGACGTATTCAGGACCTATGTTTAGTTCACTGCGTTGACGTTCCAAGTGCCCTAATGTCCGAGAGTTGCATATCCGATGCAGTCCTTGGGAACCTCATTGAGACGCAACAGCACGTGTTTCTTACAACTGACACGCAGCTGTATCGCGTCTTGGCAAAGAGCGAACACCCAGTGTTGTAGGCGCTACCGAACAAAAGTAACGAAATACATTACTCGTTACCTCAAAATAGAAGGAACCTTTTACTGTTACCGATAAAAAGTAACGCTCGGTACTTTTACGTTACTTTTGATTTACGAATCGACGGTAACAGCATTTTTTGGCGACAGCGTCTCTCGACACCGGTAGAAAGGCCGTGGGCGTTGGGGGTTTTATAAAGCGAAAATTTTTGCGTAGTGACAATAAAAGATGACATTTTGAAGGTAGGTGGAATGAGACCTTAAGTTGAGACGCAACCGAAGGTACGCGCTATTGCGACATTAGCTCGTACCTTCAAACCAGAGAAAACTGCGTAGTTGTAATCATTGCTAATGTAATGTAATGTCTTTACTCGGCTCTGGAGAGCCGCGGCACCGCGGAAAGGCAACAGCCCGCACTATGGAGGGCCGCGGTGCCGCGTCTAAAGAACATGATAATGCGATGAATATACACACGCAAGATGACGACGGGATGGATTGTTGCTATTGAGGAGGGTGTCAGTCTGATATGAAGATGTTATTAGTTGAGGCGGGTCAGCAGCGGGCCAAGGGGATCTGCAGCCTACCTTTCGATCGGTGCACTGTTCCACAAAGGAGCCCCAGGAGCTTGATGGTGCTGTTGCTCACTGTGGTCGGAGCATGATGCTCGAAGGGAATAGCCCAGTCCAAGCAGAAAGCTGGCGCCTCCGAGGTACCGAGACCCAGGGCTTAGATTGAGGCACCACCAACGCCCGCTGTGGCATCCTCTCAACGTCGTCGTCGTCGTGCTGCTGTGAGATTCATCGCTTCTATTTCACGATTTAAATGTCGTTTCTAATATTGTGACGCCGCGGTTTCCTGATTGGTGGACGCGTTGTCACATATTTAGTTTAGGCTCTAACCGCGGGGGGATTATTTTGCGCTAGCGGCGGCCTTTGCTCTGCGTATTGGCGAAACTCTCCCAATATACGGCTCTGGTTGCATTTAAAGCCCCGTTTGTCTTGCAAGTAGCGTCAAATGCGCGAGCGCACGTGGGCCGTGCCTCGAATGGCCCTTGGAAGCACATGGTGGCGCAGCACTGAAATGAACGGCCCTTGGAAGCGAATCAGCTCGCGCTGCAAAACCCAGGATGCTGGGTTCAATCCCCACCCCTGCCCGTGTCGATCTGGATGAGCATCGTACCGGTGTGCGGTCGTGTATCACTACTGTGTGGTGCACGTTAAAGACCGACGTACAACCTCGGTTTTCTGCAGGGAAGATAATCCTCTTAGCGCATCCCCTCTCCTAAGCTGCGAGGGGATCCAAGTTGGGGCAAAGTAAAAAGTGGAGAGGACATACGAAAGGAGGAGGCGCTCAAAAGTGGAAAGCGCGAAGTGTACGTCGGCCTTTAAAGACCCCAGGCTAGCGGTTACTGCACTCGCTAAGTTGCTCATTTACAGCTGGGAAACTCGTCGCCCGACAACCCGTTTTTTTTTTTCTTTTTTTTTTTTGCAAGCGAATGGCGGAGGAGATCTCGCTCGTGGCACATATCGTGTCACGAGCGGGAACGGACTTATAACCAAGTTATAAAACACATAAAGTCTAAAATCAATGACAACATTCTAGCTAATGTAAGAAATTCATGTAAAATTATATTAATTGAGGGTGCTATCAAAGTTGCGACTTTTGACAGTCGGCAAAACTTCCGAAGTCGCCGCCAATATCCTTCCACACCAAATACCCCCCGGAAACCAAAAACCAAAAACGGAATATTTTTTTAATTACTACTCCTTTTTAACACTCATTTACTTTCGCATTTACTCGCCGTCGTTTTGCCAATTTCAGCTTTTCCAGTTCGAAAGAACGCCTACCTGCTTGCGCGTCTGCTCACTGCAGCATGTTTCGTTGGCGTTGGAAGCCGGTGAAACAGTAGTAAGTTTTAGTATTTCATATACGCGCGAACGCAAGCGCTGTGCGTTTGCGTTAGCTTTGCGTGTTCCACGCTTCGCGTGCGCGGAGCCCCAAATTGCGGTCTTGGCTCGGAGCATGGCAACGATGCGCACGCGCAACATGGAGCACACCACCCTAACGCAAACGCACAGTGCTTGCGTTTGCTTCCATACGCAATACTAAAACTCTCTAATAAGACACAATCCCATACCGGCTGCAGAACCACGTTGGGACAGTGAAGAGTGTTGTTTGATATCGGAAATGGCATTTAGCGAGAATAGATTGTGTCCAGTTCCGCCGTGCCCGCTGAGCAGGAGAATCGGGGGACCCTCACTAGAGCGCTTCCCGTTTCCGCTGCGAGAGGGCGAGCAACGAGCTGGAGACGCGAATTCTTAGGTGAGCGTTCCTTTGTGAAATAAATGATCTGTCATTTATAGATGTGTTCCTATCGATGCCGGTTTTATAGTCAAAAATTTTATGCTGCTTATAAAAAAAAACAGCATAAAATATAGTAAGAATTGTGCTTTGTATTAAACAGCAATCAAATAGTTTCCCAATTAGTTTATCTACCTGGTTGGAGCAAGATTATATAGACGAGCCTAGTAGATATTTGCATTTAATACGAACATTTAGAGTAAAAAAAAAACTACAATGAAATCTAAATTCCAACGTGCGAGTTGAAAACCAAAATCGTGACAACATGTAACGGAGTTTCGTAGTCCTTAGGCTTGGAGCAGGTAGACATCTTTCAGAGTTGTCGAATATTACTGCAAACAGGAACTTTGTTTCACCTAAAGTCCGGACGTATGTGACGCTACGAGCTGATAGAATCAATTAAGCAGTGTGAAAAGCGCAAGTCACTGGGCCTTCTCTGTACGTGATTGGTTTAGCGATAATAGCACACGTACGGAAGCACGACGAATATCATGTTGCTGCACTTTTAAAGTTGGCTGGTGAATTCAGTCAGTCAATGCGCCGGCTGCATCCGGACTTGAAGTCAAATGGTGTACAGATAAAGGTTGGTCTGCTTTGACAGTTTTTTGCATTGAAGAGAGATAGTATAAAACCTGCCCGGGTACGGATGTTGGGAGTTAGAGGGGAGGATAGGAAAATGAAGTGTCTCGTACCAAGGGAGCCACAGCTTCGAAATCTAACTCAGGGTTTACGGGCCGCCAGGACAAACGGGAAGGCCTCTGGTCTTTCGGTATCAACCTCAACATTTTTGGCACTTAGCACTTTCACCTGAAAGCCGGCATCTGTCACGGCTTGTTTGACCACATTGTCAGTGACATTTGCATGGGGAAATGCAGCGGTTCCCACGGAATAGCCCTTGGAACCACCTATGCCCCCCAAAACGAGCAGGCCGCCAGGCTTCACCAGCGTTCCTACGTTGCGAACCGCCCTTCGAAAAGATTCGTGGTTTTCCGCGGCCGCTTCCAGACAGTTGCAGGAGAGAACGACATCGAAGGTTTCCCTGTGTTCCTTGGGAAGAACTCCGGGCTCCAGGACGTCGCAGGGAACCACCTTGCGGACGGAGGAACGTGCGCGCTTCAGAATCTCTAAGGCTCCTCTCTTGATGTCGCTGCAAAGCGGAAAGGAGATAATCTAGTCGGCTTATGTGGGAGAGAGAAAGGCCCATTCCAACACATCCTCGATAAGAAGTCTAAGCGGAGCGCAAATTCGTCTGCTTCTCGCACAGGAGTTGCGGTGATGTTCAGAACGCCGAGCTCTTTTTGGCTGATTAAAAAAAAGTCTCTAGGTACACCTAGGCATTTCTTATGAGTTGTGAATGCGAAAGCACGCACGCCGCTTTTCGCTGCCTTCTTTAATCTGCCATGTACAACACGCTTACCTTGGGCGTGGAACGGTGGAGCCGCTGCCTCGCGGACACGCAGCGCCATCGGGAGAGCGATCGTTCAAACGGTCGCGTGCCTTGCGGCGCGAGGAAGGAACAGACAGCAGCGTAGTTCCCAGCAGAAACGAACCCCTTGGTTTATTCCATGCGCCGTATCCATTGTCATGCGCCGTACAACCGATAAGTGGCGAGCGAACGCGGCGATCACTGATAACGCAACACTGTGATAACACAGTCTAGATGACACCCGACAAACGGACGCCGAGCGGCTAATGGGAGCCTCGTCGACGCGCGCCAGTCAATGGGATCGAAGTGTAAAAGGTGCCGTTGGCTAGTTTTGGCATGGTTTCATGAAGGTGCCGTTTTTTGCATTGTTTCAAAGCTGATGACGTCGGCTCGCTCCATGAGACAGTTAATGCTTTCGCATTAAAATAGTGGGTAGACCTCCAGGCATCTAGCATTGAGGTTTACCCACTTTCTTTTCAACCAAAGCAAATCAGAGCTCGGCGTCGTTCTGACGTCACCGCAAACCCTGCGTAAGAAGCACACGACTTGCACTCCGCATAGTGGGGGGGAAGAGATTTGTCTGCTTCTTGCGCACCTCGTGCATTTGTTTACCCCCTAAATTTGCCCACGTGATTTTGTATTCCCCTACCTCAACCAAGGACGGCGCCGGCTTGGCTTTCTCATGATCACGTGCTCCCGGAGCGTTCTTTATGTTGCCCCTTGGTTTGCGTTCCAGTGCGTCAAAGAGGTTTTAGAACACTTGCTCACCGCTGCGTCTGCATTCGGCTCTGACTCGTGTCTTTGCTGATTGAACACGAGTCGCAGCTTATAGCTGTTGTCACACTCGTGACCAATCCGTGCCCAGCGTTTGCCTTCCCGTGTGACGTCGAAAACGTAGCACTGCGGCCCTTTGCATTTAAGTGGTGTTGGCTGTTCACACAGGCACGTTGGCTTACGTTTTCCTAAGGCCCATACACAAATTTGCATCTGAGCGCGATGCGTTCAATTGCGGCAGGCTCCTGCAGAACGTTGCAAAGAGCGTTTATGCGAAGCTTGTACACACAGCATGCGTTGGAACGCAGCCGACCGATTTTAAATGCCATTCAGAACGTGCTATTGTAGCTTGCACCCACATTCTAAGAAAAGAATCTGGTTGGAAAACAAATCTTAGGGGTTCATCGGTCTGTCCATATTTCGCACCCTACAAGTTCCTTCAAGCCCCCCCCCCCCCCCCCCCCCCCCTAAAAGGGTGCTGAAAAGTTCTCCGTGTGGTCGCCATTTCGGTTTATGGCAAGCGGTTTGTCTTTGCCCTCTCCGTTTTTGAAAGCCGTTCTAGATTAGCTGGTGACGGGTGACGACCTTTCTTGAATACTGAGATTTCGTTATCCACACACCAGCAAAACAAGCGCACATGCTCGCACCGCCACGACGTGCGGCGCCGGTGCTGGACGGCATTGAAAACTATATTTCCTCTTTTTAAATACGGAAGAACCACAACACAATTGTAAAAGATCTGCGGAGATAAGCATGACTGATAGGTGGATTGCATGCACAAAGCCAAAGATACTTATATTGGCGAGGAACGCTTTTTGTACGTTGATGCTACATAGCGATCTTGGCGCGACTTCTTCAGAACGACATTTCTTGACTCCGAATATTTGAATGGACCGCAATTGCGATTGCCATGGCAAGTAAGACCAATCAGTAAATCGCCTTGAGAGGTTTCGACGTCTGTATGTTAATATCTGTTTGTGTCGAGCTAGCCGGCAAGGAAGTAAATGGCGCTATTTTTCAAGGATCCAGTAAATTTATTTTTGAACTAGAGTGCTAAAGCACAATCATGCCCTACTCCAAAACCCAGTATAACATTTCGCTATCTGCATTATGTAACAAGAAACCTTATTGGATTCTACCTGGATTTCATGTTTTAAACTGGATTTTAGGTTTCCAATAACATATCCAGTTACATTTCTTGTTCCATAGTCCAAATAACGAAAAGCTAATTTGGATTTGGGGTGGGGTGTTTATATTTGAAAGGTTAGTTGTGCGTTTTATTCTCAAAGTGCAAACGAATAAAGTATGTGACTAAAAAGCTGAATCACTTTGGTTCTCAGTTATTAAGCACAAGGAGGAGAGTGATTTGGTTGAAGCTGTTTTGCTTAATTTGAAGCAGGGAATCATAAAGTGAGCCTCCATTTTATTTAATATAAGCATATCTAACATAACCTGTCGTCCCTAAGCCAGACAGACGGTTGCCCTGTCGCACCACCGTAAACGATCATACCAAATAGGAACCGCATATAAGACCATTCAAAACAAATATAGTTCTTCACTATAAAACTCTCAAGCCCAAAGTCATGTTTCAATCTTTTTACTATCTCATATACAAATGATGCGGCACGCAGTTAGTCAAATGTCAACCCCACATAACGGAGCTTTAGTAGATCGTTTCGATACCTCGTATAACGATACCGGACAACGATATGATGTGCGCGGAAAGGCATCGGCGGAGTGTCGGGTATCGTTAGCGGAGGTATCGCCATGATCTACTAAAAGTACCTATTGTTTTATGAATTATATAAATGCTTACATACTCATAGCCCTCCAAGGCGGCAATTTTTTCGGCACCGATGGTCCAGTCAAATGCATCTTCATTGTTGTTGAGCCACTTGATGATTTCGAGCCTGTTGGCTTGGACCAAGTCGCTCAGCACGATGTGGTTGAACCGACTAGAGGCCAAAAGCGAGCCCCACAACATCGGGCCGCAGCCCACTTCCAACAGGGTCTTGCCCTGAGCCAAACCTATGTAAAGCAGGCCGGAATTTTATATTAGCCCAGCTTCACTAAGAGCAAATGGAGGTTATACATTTTTCAGCGATGGTTTAATAAGCATACCAGTTCCCTGATACCCTAGTTCTACAGGCAGCCTGAACCGCAGATAAGCATGACTAGCGTCAGATTTAACTGCGGTTTAGCGTACCCATGGAACTGGGGTATAGAGGGCAGTAATTTCTAAACACACTTAAGCGCAACTGCAGTTTAGTATGCCCGTTGGGCACTATTAGCCCTAGTTAAGCAGCACAGCTAGTTTCGGACCCGTCCGAAACTAGCTGTGCTGCTTTCATATCATAACATTTGATGTCATGTTTTAAGAGCAAAGCTCCTTAGGGTCTAGCCTTGTCCTTCCGTCCGTCCGTCCGTCCGGCCGGCCGGCGTCCGTGCTCACATAAAAGGAAAAAAGTGTTTGCGCAGTCGACAGGATTCGAACCTGTGCGGGGAGACCCAAATGGATTTCTGGTCCATCGCTTTAACCACTCGGCCACGACTGCGGGACGAGTAGGGGGCTCTGAGATGTGGTAGAAACTCAAGAGCTGGGGTTTCTGTCATGGATGAAACGTTGCATGTAGCCGCTCACCGTCTATACAGGAGTGGGCGCTGCGGTCAAATCCGTATATAATCGCGTTCAATTTTGCATGCATTGGCTCAACGTTTATAGACGAGAGGGCGCTGCGGTCAAATGCTCAAATGCGTATATAACCACGTTCCATACCACACATTCTCTTTCTGACATGGACCGTTGACTTAAGCGGTGGAGATGCGTTACCACGGCTTCTAGCGGATCCTAGTTGATCCGCTAGAAGAACCACTGGCTCTGCATTTCACCGACCATAAAGCAGAAATAATGAAGTCGAAACGTGACCCGGAACTCAGCACTACCTATGAGCAATAAAAAAATCAGCCCCATCAGCACTACCTATGAACAATAAAATCAGTATCATCAGCACCACCAGAGCTTCGCCCCACTCAACATCATTCACGACGTTGAGATGGGGTAATTTTTTACTTTTTCCAGGAGCCAATATTAGCCTATAAGACCAAAAATAATAATTCAATTACTTCGCAAAAACATGCTACTAGTAATTTGGGTTGCTTCATGTGTTTATTAATGTGTTTTAAAACTTCTGAGGCCAATCACTTATCAAACGTTCACACTTTAACACACAAATATAGAGTGCTAATGTAGATGTCCTTCGATAGTCAATCTCGGATCGTGCTACTCCAGAACACAGATGATTCAGCGTTACGAGCCCGGAGCATACTTTACCCGAATGAAAAATGAGATGCAGTTGTTCCACTTGAAAAGTTTCCACGTCCTCGTTCAAACGACCATACATGTCCAGATAAGTCCTCGCCTGAAAGTTTTCTTCGTAAGCCACCCTCAGCGCTTGGGAGTCCATGCTTCCTAAGGTGTCCAATCTGTAACTTCTGAAAACTATTGATTTTATTAGGTCAGAATATGTACCTCCCGATTCGAAAGTGTCAATGTACAGTTTGATTATTCGCAATAAAACACATTTCTATACTTATATTCTACAATTCAAGCTCAGTAGCGTGTGAGCATTCCACAACGTTCCCACGCTTAGTTTTGCATGGTACAGCCTTTTTTTTATATGCTAAAATCAGGGTGTCGAACCGGAACCGAACCGAACCGAAAACCGGAACCGAACCGGTATTTTTTCCGGAACTGAACCCGAACCCGAACCGTTATAATGTTATCGCGATGACCCCGAACCGGAACTGAACCGGAAAAAAATAACGGTTACCGGCTCATGTCAAAACGGTTCGGCCACGCGCTGTTGACAATGAATGTGCTATCAATGCCATTTGTTTTTTAAGTGCCGTCAACTGACATACACCTCGCTTACATATTTTTCTTCTCCACTCAGTCCTAGGAATATAAACGCTGCATCCATGAATCTTAACAAACGCTGCATCCATGAATCTTGACATAGGAACCAGTATTGTGCTGGTCGCGGCTTGCACGGAAGAAAGAGAATTGGAAGGCTGTGCAAAAAAACAAAAAAAAAAATCGCGTCACGGGTTTTCATTTTCCTACAATCTCGTAAATCCTAAATGCTGCTGTGTGCTCATTTCATAACACGTTTCTAGAACGCGCGAGTTCTTGAAGCTTGCTTCCATCGGAATGAGAAAAGAAAAGGCTGTGGAGTTTGATAATAATGCATCCGGTTTCGTATAGGCACTTAGAAGCTAACATATTTGTGAGAGAGCGAACTCTTCTATTTTAATATTTATCCTATTACGTCCTTCTGGCGTTGCGTTCGGTGAAGTGTTTTTCATATTCCGTATATTGTTTAATCCAAACTTCTTTAAGATTCTAATTTGGGTTACCGAAGGCTAGTTCAAATAAAGAAAGCTGTATTTTCTCCCCACTGTTCCTTCAATTGCTTACACGCCGAGGTGGCGGGATAGTTAGCGAGTTCTACTTGTAAGTGGGTTTGTAAGGAGGTCGCGGATTTTACAGCTACTGCGTCGGACCCAATTAGATGAAGTCTGAATGCGTAAACGTCGGTGAGGTAACCTTTGAGTGCACATAAAGAAACCATCCCTGGTAGAAATTCCTGAGCCTCACACTACGATGTATCCCGTTTCGTATGTGCTGATTTCAGATGTTTGATTTGTAATTTATTTTGATGTTGCAATTTGTCATTTATAATTTCCGAACCGGTTCGCGAACCGGTTCGCGGATCGAATTAATCGAACCGGAACTGAACCGGAACGAAATAAATTTACCTGAACCTAAACCGTAACCGAACCCGTATTTTTTTCGGTTCGACACACTGGCTAAAATATACAAAACGCCTTGAAAAGGTTGTTTTTGAAAAGTTTGCTCCGACGTAACGCATCAAAAAATAAAAAAATAAATATAGACTGGCTTCTCCAGGGAGGCGCAGTATAGCGATACAAATGTATCGCAATAATATTTTAGAGATACATTTAGCCTTTATATCAGTCCATCGCAATACGATTTTACAAGTGTGTTTTGTATTTCTTCATTGAAAGACATTTTCAGGTGTATTCCTGGTATCTCGACACTTTAGGGGGCGATGCATCTCGCTTCAAGTTATAAGGAATCGTTGCCTTTCAAACAAAAGTTCAAGTTGCCATTTTTCTTTTTGTCTTCTTGTCTTGAGAGGGGAGGGTGTTGTGCACTCTGAAACCCGGAGCGTCTGCTCTCCAGCAAAGCACTTGGGTGAGCCAATCGCTGCAATCTACCGAGTGCGCTCGACCAATGACTAGCCTGATCACGTGCTTAAGCCCGGAAAATAGCAGTCTGCTTCGGGACATTAAGTGTGACGCTTCATCGTTATCAGTGTCCTAAAGCAGACTCTTTTTTTCTAGGCTTCACATTATTAGTCTAGTCATTGGTCAAGCGCCTTCAGTGCATTGCAGCGGTTGACTCACCCAAGTGCTTCGCCGGAGAGCAGATGGTCCAGGTTTCTTAGAGTGAGAAGGGTACATGGAGGTTTTGTTTTCGTGGAAATCTGTCCCCTACATTAGACCTTTCATCGCTTGTCACCCGGGCGACAAATGCTGAGTCACTGAACTGTGGAAGCATGCTCAGGGTCTGATATACAACACACCAGAGCAACCGCAAGCGCATAAACCAGATTCGCATGAGGTGAAGCTTCTGCGCATGCGCCGTGGCGACAACAGCGCCACCGCAGGAGCGTGACGTCGGAGCTGCGTGTTGGTCTATACAATTAGATCTTCCTGTCTGTGCCTGTCTCTCTTATTCGCTCTTTTTGTCGGTCTGGATGCGTGTGCGGGCGCGCATACTTGTTTTTGCCTTGTTTTCTTCGCATTTTGATTTGCTTACATAAGATACCATGTAAAAGACGAAAAAGTGGATAATAGAAACAAAGCGCATCTCTCCGATAAGCGCGAAAGAGCACCGCATTTTGACCGTGTTCAAGTTGTCATGCATTTTTGTTTGCTTGAATTTTTTTATTACAAACAGAATTAATTCACATAAATAGCGTCCCATCACTGACAAAACAATAAATGAAAACGTATTTATAATATTAGTTTTGAGAGAATGGGTTTTGGGGGAAATGCATTTTTGTGAAAAAATCATCATGGTGACATTGATGCAGCTTAAATCACGAATTGAATCATCTTGATTTTTATCAATCATCCTGAACTCAATGGATTTGTGGTGGGTCCATTTGAAAATATCAATGCCTCGCGCGATTTTGTGAAAAGGTTCATTGGTTGCATCTTCTCGCCGGAAAGCAGCCTTCATTTTGGTTCGTTGAAGGTGTTATCTTTATTTCCTGAGATATATACTAAGCAGAGAGCAGCTGGGTGAACATTGGCAGGTCTGCGCCATCCATCGTGCAACGTCGCCCTCAACGTGTCGGCTCAAAGAGCCGAAGTTCCGTCCGTGCGCATTACTGCCACCACAGCTTTGCACGCCAAAGGGCGCAGCAGGCCTCTGAACCCGCCTCTCGCTGCCGAACGTCAGGTCATGTGGTTGTGACGTCATGACCCTATCGACCAATCCGGGTTTTTCCGTCACAACGCCACCGTTGCCGGCTTTTCTGTGACACGATCTCCTTAACGCTACGCTTTAAAACTGTTCTGGCAGATGAAAACAAAAGCAGCGGAAAAGGGATGACGATTTGTAGGGCACAGAGAGGGCAAAATAAATGTTTGTGCGAAAAGCCAGGGTGATCGAAGAGGGCAAAATGTGGATAGATGGTTGAATAATAACGGCTGTACCTTTTGTTACGGGCGGTAGCTTGCGCCACCTACCCTACCCTGTGCTCTTAGTTCGAAAAGCACAGAGTGATCAGACGGTCAATATTGAATGCAAAAACAAACTTTACCTCACGCGGTAGAAGAACTTGAAAAGAAAAGTAAAGAGTAGTGTCACTTTTTTTATTGAAAGTTATTTGTTGATTAATCTATGCCTCAAGCCCAAGCATTTATAAATGCAATAAGTGTTCAAGAGCGATCTTTTTTTTTTTTATTTGAAAATACAATTGACACTACTCAAGGAGCCATAGTAGGAGGAGGTAAAAACATATAAGCAAGATGCAGATTTCAAATGAAAATTCAATTAAGTACAAATTCAACAGCAGATACAAAATTAGCAACAGTTGTGTTGACGATGGCATCATTTGGTAACTCGTTCCACTCTTGAATTGCCCGAGGGAAAAAAGAATATTGAAAACACGCGTTTTTTAACCTGTATTGTTTTAACGCTCTTGTGTGGTTTAGACGCGAGAACCCGGTTGATAATGGTTGTATATGCCGTTAAGGATACTGAAAAGTAATCTTAATCTATCCATTTTTGCTCTCATTTGCAAAGGCTGAAGCTTCGCTCTAATAACTAATTCAGTGGACGATGTTTCTCTACGATAATCATTAAAAATAAACCGAGCAGCTAACTTTTGGATACTTTCACGTTCGTTAATACCGTTTAGTGTGAAAGGGCACCACAATGAACTAGCATATTCTAGCACAGGCCTAATACAACTTTTATAAGCAATAACTTTAGTGTCGAAATCAGTGAATTTTAATTAGCTGATTTCGCAATGCATTTTCTTCGTATGAATGTCCGTTTTATGGTATCAAAGGTTGATAATGTTGAAATTCTTGATACTTTGCGTATTTCTTTTAGTATTTTCATGTTTTCTGAAGCAGGGTACACTTCAGACTCATATGACGTTTTTGCCTATTTACAAGCTTTTTTTCCGAGAAAATGTGAGGGAGGGAGGGAGACATTTAGTGTTACTTAATCAGTCTCTCCAATGTTGTGTTATTCCAGATTTTACAGAAGTGAATGAATCTTTTGAATTCATTTTCTTTTATTCTTTTTGTTTACTCTTTTTACTATTTTTGTTTACTACTATGCTGACCTCCATCTGGAAATGTCGACGGCATGCTGTTTGTACTTGATAGGTTACTTAGTTTTGTTAGCAAGAATAAATGTACTCTTTTTCTAAGGGCATTTTAATATTGACGTATTAAAACATCAACTATGCACGATGAGCTATTTTTTTTTTGTTGTTGTTGTCATATCAAATGCTTTTGAATGTGTTACTGCCGGTGTTTACTTTGCCACAAATTGTGCCCAGAAAGATATTTCTATTTCAGGTGTAATTAGCTGTGATATTAGTGACCATTTACCCGTCTTCCTCTTTAGTAACACACGATGATCGAGTCAACCTCGAGAAAAATGAGAAAGCTTTAGCCTGCGCGCTATTACACCGCAAAGTCTGCAGTCATTCAAGAACTTTATTTAAATCACTAATTTGACCACGGGATACGCTAATAATTCAGCTGATGCAGCATGCGATACATTTCTGGAGACATTCTGTGAAATTTATCGTAAAACCTTCCTGCACGAGTTCATCGAGCCTGACAAAAG